TGTCTTTAAGGAGATAGAACTCGAAATATTTTAGTAAAGTATCTCATAAAAATCAGTGTGTAATTCTTGAGAAAATTAGTGAATGCTAGAGGGAAGTTACCTCTAGAACTAGATGTAGCTAGGTAAAAGGGTGAACTAGTATAAAACTCTTGTTCTTGGTGTGTGCGAGAGAGAGAGTTGAGAGCACAATTGTGTCAACACATCTAACAATATTTATATATAATTACAGGTTAAATTGAAAAATCATAGAAACCCCAATCCAATTCCTTTCTTGATGTTTCAATTATCCCTAAGTTTCAATTATGTTTTATGCCTTTAGGCATCTTCAATGTAGAAGATCTCTTGTTACTCAGCTCATTGAGGATTTGTTACACATTGTTTTCAACAAGTTTTTCCATCCTATAAGAAGACAATAGTATTGTTGATTCAAATATTCCCCAGTATTCATTTTCTATTAGAATAAAAATATGAAGGAACTCTTGGAATACCTATCACATGTTATTGAGGGTGGCTAGAACTGTACAATTTGTGGATAGATAGAATCATAGATGCTAGAGAGCCTTGAAATTTATTGCCTTGTGGAGTGTATATCATAAGGAGTAGATCTTGTGGAGTGATAATAAAATTTTTGCCTTCAATCCACAAGCACTTAGAAATCTCACAAAGAGAATGAAAGTTCATAATTCATTTTAAATGTCCAAAATATTAATCTCCATTTGTGTTTCAATGTGCTACTTTGCCCTACCAAAAATAAGTTAAAAACTCTCTTGGAAAATAGGATCAACTAGAAAAATAAACTTAAAACTTAGCTCCAAAACTGTTACGAAAACAAAAAACTTGTATATTGAGCTAATATTTTGGGTTTCAAGTTTAAGGTTTTTTCTTTTTCTTGAATCGATGTCCTAGTTTGCATATATTGAACTATCACATCGATTTGACTCATGTAGTCTCATACAACATAATTTTCAAATATTTCAATATGGTTAGATATACAATAATTTATATGCTAAAATATTTAATCATAGATATATGTTATTTTAGAAGATAATTCTCATGTAAAAAAATTGTGTTTGATCTATTGATATGAACTTCTCAAGTTTGATACTCATTGTCACAATATGATTTTCATGTATGAAGGTAATAAGATTGATATGCATTACTCGTAGACAATATAACTTCACAAATATTATACTAAAATAATAGTATAAGTGATAAGTTTTTATTATAATGAGTTATTAATTAATTAATAATATAGTTTTAGCCTTAACTCATGATAATAGACTTATATTTGTGTTAAATTATGAAAAATAGTTTTTAATTGATTAATGTGAATTTTTAGCTAATTATGTGATTTTATGTGAATTTATGTAATTTATGATCCTATTTTTGAGATATATAAAGAAGAATAAAATTAAATAAAAAGATAAAAAAAAGAGAGAACTTGTTGACCAGCTAGGCTTGCAAGTGGGTGAAAGCGTAGTTGAGCGGAGCCATGACTAGACTCTAGTTGTTAATGACAAATTGATAAGAGACATGTGTGCATCACTCTCCTTTTATGTCACTAGTGGCCAATCAGATGTGGATCAAGATGTGGTCATACACACATGAGAGAGAGCTTATTGATCATAAGATCTTATGTTATCATATATATGCCTCAAAACTCATAAAATAATTAATTTGGGATTAAATCAACTTCCCAAAATTTTTAAATAATTTTAATATCTAAAAACCCCTTATTTATAAGAATGAGATATCCTAATGACATGATTTTATAAAAATATTCAAATACTTATTTCACTCTCTCTTATGCAGACTTGTGACTAGCGAGGGTTCAGATTCTACTAGAGTTAAAACTCATATTTTTATTTAATTAAATCAAAATTTTCTATAGATTATCGACAAAGAATTAAACTACTAGAATCACTCAATCGTTGGTGAAGATCTCATCAATGTGATTCATAGAACATCGCTATTAAAATTGTTGAAGGATTATGGATAAAAAGATCACAAATCTATCAAGTAAATCATCTACGATTAATCAACAAATAAGTTGTCGTTAGAAAGATGATGATCCACTAGGAGACATGTTGTCACCTCCTAAGAACATACCAAATGTAATGAAGAGATTTCGAGACTCTAAACATTGTATGATAGTCCTCTCAAACACATAATTTTGACGATCTTTGTCACGAAGTTGAAACTCTGTCTTTTCTAATTTAAATTTATTTTTTTTAAAATTTATTAAGATTTTGTGTGGTTTTAAATTAACACTTTTTCATTAAATTACAATTCTTTTGGCTTTTACAAAACTTAATTTGACCTATTAAATCATTTTTAATCACTTACATAAGAATCATCAGATAAAATTCAATTTTTACTCGATTCACATTCACTAGGATGTTGACATCATCTTGATATCCACACCTTGATTTTATTTTTTGTTAATTTTTAAATATATTTTATATTTATTATTTAGTTTAAAAATAATAAAAAAATTAAATTGTTTAAGAAAAATTCTGAAATATTACTCAATATTATCTTACATCCTTGTGATCGACTTAAAATTTTTCAACCTTTTATCAAATTATAATTAATTATTTTATTCTAAAATATTTCTAAAAATTCAAAAAATAGTATTTTTTAATTGTATAAAATTTAAATTTACATGCTTTATTGTACAATGACTGAGTCACATCAATAAGTCTAAAGATTATTATATTATCATTAATATAAAAATAATATATATTAAAATAGAAGACTTGGTATATTTTGCTATGTTTTTTTAGAACTTACACATTGAGGTATTATGATTGATGTACTGAACATTTTCTACAAAGTAACTGCTCACACTATGATATTCTATTCTTCATATGTTTTATAATTTCACAAATGATTTCTATGTACTAAAATATTTATATATTAAAAATTGGTTTCATACTCGTGTTCTGCATAACAACTTTTATGTACTGCAATATTAACTTCAATATACTTTGTTCTTCTACAAGATACCTTGTGATGTCTTAACATATTAACTATGCTGCAGTATTTTTGTCAATTTAAATTTATATAATTAAATATCTACCTTGATCTGTCTTACCTTTTGTATTGTAATTTAATATAAATTTAAATATTAACTTTGATGTAATGCATCATTTATGAAGAATAAAATGTCTAGTATATTGAGCTAGTGATATTATAAAATGAAGTTTTACATATGTTGCCATATCATAATATCCTGTTTTATTTTGCATACAAGTTCTCATACACTGAAATATTAAAATAATATATTGTACTATTAGGTAATGGAGTTTTTTATGTACTGTACTAACTTGGTGTACTTCACTTTTGTCTGACGCAAAATAGTTTTTTAAATTTGACAAGCTTTCATCAACCTTAAGACAATCTGAGTTTGAAAACTCATTGCCTCTCATCCATCAGAAGAAATATTTGGTTGGAGAGGGGGGTTGTGTGTGTTTACTAAACTATATTAGTGGGTTTATTGTATTAATAGGTGGCGTGAAAGGTAAGCTGCAACTCACTATCTCCTATAAGATTAGTATGTAGTAGGGTTAACTTGATTTGATTGTGGGTTTATTGTATTAATAGGTCAAATGAAAGAGAAAATAAGGGCGTCCATATGAACTCTAGTTTACTTATTTATGGTCGTAACATCTCAATAATTCTATTAGCAAGATCCTTTTGTATTGTTGTTTTTCCACTCAAAATTTTAACTCTAACTCAATAAGGATAAGAAATTATTAGAACGAATGCAACTGTCCAGTGATGGGGTAATAAAGAGATTGAATCAGTCCCCCCACCTTGAAGAGATGGAAGTTGAGAAAATTTTGGCTGAACTAAATTTGATCCTCTCAGATATTACATTTAAGATCAATTTCATCGTCCTCTTCTCCCTGGGGCCGTCTCCTCCCCAAGTCATCTGGAGGCCCGCCTCCACTTCAGCTCCGACCTGTAGCCCTTGGAGTTCGAAGCTCTTCTCTCTGATCAGAGCCCCTATGGCTTTTTCAAGGAGACCATCTGGTTGAAGACGCCAAACGATTCCGCCATTTTTCCTAGCGCTGACGCGCACTTTAATTTATTTAGGAAATTATAATGCGGTTGGACAAGACCCATGAGCCTGGCTCTGGCCACATCACGGACTCGGAAAAAGGGCCAAAAAGATGACGAACTCTGGGGCCCGCCCAGGCCTGGTGCTCACACCGTTCCACCATTGACTGAGCTAGTTACGATTTGGGGCGGATGCATAGCTTGGTGAATAAGTAATTCGTGTGGAAATATCCCGGGTGGAAGCTCCTATGTTCACCACGTTGGGGCATTAAGTCAACGTTACTCCTCCCAAAGGAACCTCTCCCCGTGTAGGAGAAAATTGGGATCATCACACGACATCGAAGACGTCTCGCGTTTGATCTACCTGTCCGACGCTTCGGCTGATTGGCCCATTGACTTCAGCGCTCAGATCGGCACAAAAGTCCCGTCGCGTGTTGAAGATATGAGAAACACGTTCGGGGGAGGGAGGGTGGCGGCCACGATTAGAATATTCGGACTAATTTTACGGTCCGAACCTGAAACGATGAAAAATTATTTTCTATGGGTGTATCTGAGGTGGCGAAGGATATATAAAAGAAAATTGATGCAGTAGTTAGTTGTTTAGAAGATTTATTCACCGGTAAATAAGTCTATAAAATCGGGTAATGTAACTTTTTAAATCACTGAACACCAAAAAATAATAATAATAAAAAATCGGCCGTGGACTGTTAACAAATAAATAGTAAAAGAAATTGTGTGAATGATCTTGGATGTCATGAACAACTTCTAAGAAAACAATTAAATAATTTTGCCAAAATTGAAAATTCATTTTCATGGGGGAGGGAAGACCAGGTGTTCTACCCTCGTCTCATTATAAAATACGGCGGGCTTACTCTGAGCCTGTCCATCGCTGCTTCCTCTTCCCCCGCCCCCACCTACCTACAATCGCAGGGGGCATGGAGCTCCTGCTCGTCATCGTCATCCTCGCCCTCCTCCCCCCCCTGATCTTGTTCTATCTCTTGAGCCCTAAATCAGAGGGCCCCCTCAAGGCCTATCCCTTAATAGGCATCGTGCCGCAGTTCGTCAAGCACCGCCATCGCCTCCTGGAATGGCAGACAGAGCTCCTCACGGCCGCCCCCACCAACACCGTCCACTTCCGCTTCTTCGGCAAGCTCCAGGGTATCATCACTGCCAACCCGGCCAACCTGGAACATTTCCTCAAGTCCAACTTCCAGAACTACCCCAAGGGGCCCCGCCACACCTCCCTGATGGAGGACTTCCTCGGCCGGGGGATCTTCAACGCTGACGGCGAGCTCTGGAAGTGGCAGCGGAAGATGGCAAGCTTCGAGTTCAACACCGGGTCCCTCCGGATCTTCGTCGTGGAGAACGTCCAGCAGGAGATTACCAAGCGGCTGCTGCCCCGGCTGCGCAGCGCGGCGGCGAGCGGTGCTGCCGTCGACCTCCAGGACGTGCTGGAGCGGTTCGCGTTCGATAACGTGTGCCAGGTCGCCTTCAACGAGGACCCCGCCTGCCTCACCGCCGATGGGGAGGATCCCGCCGGGGGGGATGGGCTGCTCCGGCGGGGGTTCGCCGCCGCCTTCCGGGACGCCACGGCCATCAGCGCCGCCCGTTTCCGGTACGCCGTCCCCGGGATGTGGAAGCTCAAGAGACTACTCAACGTCGGATCGGAGAGGCGTCTGAAGGAATCGATATCCACCGTGGACGACTTCGCTCGGAGGATAATCCGTTCGAGGAAGAAGGAGCTGAGGTCGCCGGCGGTGGCTGCTGAGGGGTTCCGCCACCAGGACCTCCTGTCACGGTTCATCGCCGGCGGGGACGACTCCGACGAGTTCCTCCGGGATATCGTCGTGAGCTTTATACTGGCGGGGCGGGAGACGACCTCCTCGGCGTTGACGTGGTTCTTCTGGCTCCTGTCTGAGAGACCGGACGTGGAGAGGAAGATCCTCGAGGAGATCCGCTCGGTGAGGACCAGAAGCGAGGGAGAAGGAAAAGAGAAGGAGAGCTTCGGCTTCGAGGAGCTGAGGGAGATGAACTACCTCCATGCCGCCATTACAGAGGCCATGAGGCTCTACCCGCCGGTGCCTTTCAACAGCAGCTTCTGCCTCGCCGACGACGTCCTGCCGGACGGGACGAAGGTGGGCAAGGGCTGGTTCGTGTCGTACCACCCCTACGCCATGGGGAGGACGGCGGCGGTGTGGGGGGAAGACTGCGGCGAGTTCCGGCCGGAGCGATGGCTGGGGGCCGGCGGGGAATTTCAGCCGGTGAGTTCCTTCCGGTTCCCGGCCTTCCATTGCGGGCCCAGGACCTGCCTGGGGAAGGAGATGGCCTACATACAGATGAAGTCCATCGCAACGTGCCTGATCGAGAAGTTCACGCTGGAGGTCGCCGGCGGCGGCGGGGGTCGGCCGGAGATGCTGCTGTCTCTCACCCTGCGGATGAAAGATGGCCTGCCGGTGCGCATTAGGGAGAGGGCCACCCCCCGCTCATCTTCCCCCTCCTGCAAAACCGTATCGTAGTCCCTGCTACCTCCCCCACAAGCTCTGGTCTTCCCGTTGAAACCTACCTATCTATACCCATCCATAATTTCAGTGTATGTACATCTCGAGGTAGAATTGTCCTGCAGGAAACTAAGTCGCATTAATGGGAGGATATTGTGGCAATTTCGATCACACTTCCACATCAATTTTTCATCAGAAGGGACTCTTTTTTTTTAAAAGGCTATTTGGATTCAATTTTGCAGCACTTTCGGACCTAAGAGCCTTATAACAGATGACAGTGGTTTTTCCACCTAAATAGTTATTTTCTTCTGCTCATCTCTTTCCGCTAGTAGTTTCAATGGGCCTACTCCATCTTCTCGGCTTCTGCTGTGCCGTAATTTACTTATTTATAAAAATATATCAGCCTTAATTCAATATCATATGAAAATGGCCAGATTAATGCAAGGTGGGAAGTAGTACACGCGAAGGAACGGTCATAAATATACCAGGATTGAGAGGTAATACCCATTTTTGGAGCTCTGCATGGGAGTCTTGTGAGGAGAAGGAAATGATGTGAGCACACAGGGAGATTAACTAAGGGGCGGAGGCCTTCCTACTTCGCCAATGACTCACCCTTGTGCTCACTTCCGGAGGGGACCAACGTGACCTGCTCCAACCTGACAGCAGAGGGGGGGCGGGGGAGCATCTGATCTACAATTACTTTTAAAACATTGAACTCCAACAGAAAGAAATATTTATTTCGATTTTATGCCATAAAAGGTTCTGACAATTTTGAGGTTTCTCCTGCCAGTCCATTAGAATGCAACTGTCATGTAGCTGCGTAATGCTGGCAATTTCAGAGCCCTAGACCCTGCATCTTTCCTCCATGCTCACATGGTTCATCAAAACCAAGTTTAAGATTTAGTGGAAGAGGTAAAGTTATAAATGCTGAATTTTACTATTGACAAGTGGTGATGATGGGAAGTTATAAGCTCTCTAGGGATTGTTCATATCCCTGTTTAGTGGTCTATGAAACATTCGAATGAGAGAGAATTAGATAGCTGTTGAGACATCTATGCCAGAATTTTCTAAGTAGATGTTTTGCTATGTCAATCACCTTCTATTTGGTGTACCCTTCTCGGCAACATTTCTGACCTCTAACATCAATAGTAAGCAGATAGAAAAGAAAATAAACACTACCTTTTAGGATATAATTAATTTCAAATAATATTTCCATTATCAGATTATTAATTGAAACCTCACAAGATGCAACAAAAGATCTCATTGAGTACATTGTAAATTTTAGAGGAATCTAAGGCTGTTGGTCACTAAGAACAACATCATAGGAGAAATTTATTTTAAAATTCATAAAAAACAAAAAAATGGGTACTGACATCAATGCCCCAACAAATACAATTTGGATAGAAATAAAGTTATGTCAGACGATTCTTACGTAAGTAATTACATATGATTTAATTGATCAAATTAATATCTATAAAAACTAAAATAATCATAATTGACTAAAAAAGAAGTTCAAAGCTTCAAATTACATAAAATATCATTAATTTAAGGAATAATTAAGTTTTAAACAAGAAAGATAGAGTTTTGACAATACAACATCAATCACTAAATTTTTTGATTATTTTAGAGAATTTTTGTGTGATGTCTACTAGTTCAAAAGTCCTCTTTGGACATTTGTAACATGGATAGTTTACAGATCCTCTTGCGAAGTCTATAAATTAAAAATGTATTAGATGAAGGTGAGGTGTGTCTCAAGAAAATTCTTTCTCAAATTTCTATAGTGAGGGGAGGCTTTTTATCACATTTGATATGCTCTAGAGAGATGATGGCTAGTCTTTTGGTAGATCGTCCTAATTTTGATGATGGTGTATTCGTTGATCAATTAGAAATGATTTCCTCAAATTCATGATCTTTTCATTGAGAATCCTTCGTCAATTGGTAGCAATGCTTTAGAAATCATGTTACTAATATTTTTATTGATGATCGAATGATTATAATGACTTGATCATTAGCCAATGCATTATGCAAAAAAAATATAACTAAATCAGATAGAAAGCATAAAATATGACTTTTCTAAGATTTGAACTTTTGTTGATTATCTAATTGTCTAAGAGAAGGTTAACTATTTACCATAATACCTTTGAATAGTGACATCATAGTGACATTCTTTTTCCTAACTCAAGGGACTTTTTGGTAATAATTTTTCAACTACTTCTGACCCACATGTGATACCCTCTAGGTTAGCTGCCTAGTTCCATTTGGCTAAAGGGCCCCCCTTTTTTCTTATTTTTTCTATTTACTTTATTTTTATTTATTTCATCTCAATATTTGAATATAAAAATTATATAAATTTACATAAAATCACATAATTAACAAAAAAAATCACATTAGTTAGCTAAGAACCTTATTTCTCAATTTAATATAAATATAAGCCCAGTTAGAATGAGTTCAAGTGTAAATATTATTAACTAATTATTATATTATGATATTGAAAACTTATTAGTGGCCTTATATCTTAATACATATTTAGTTAGATGAATTTATTGTGGCTTGAATTAGATTTGTCTAATGAAGGACAATATCAAATTATCACAAGGAATAGATATATTAAGCAAAAGAGTTTATTCCTAACTTGCAAATAAGTCTCTAATATAAGATTCCTTAGACCCTTGATAATTTTACTCATTGATTATAAAATGATACAAAAAGTGTACATATAAGATAACTTTCTAGTTTCTCCTTGATATAATCCATAGATCTATCTCAATGTGTTTCGTGTAATCTTATTGTATTGGAGTATTACCTATACTGATGGCTGATTTATAGTCACGAAATAACTTAATAGAATCACTCTATTTAATTTTCAAATCCTCTAAGATATCTTTTGTAATTCACATATACATTGGGCCATTTCTTATAATTTAGATTCTAAATTTGATCTTACTACCAAATGCTACTTCTTACTTTCTTGAGTAATTAGATTGCCACATAAGGTACAATAGTTGAAGGTAGACCTTTTATCAAAAATTGATCCTAGGTTGTTAATTTTTACATACATTTCAAGGTTTATGTTACAAATTTTCTGAATAAAATATCTCTCCTTCTTGTTCGTTTAAGATAGTGAAATATTCTAAAACCCACTTGTAAATGATTTTCTCATAGATTTTTCATGAATTGACTTAAGGCCCCCACTAAGTATACAATGTTTGGTCTTGTACGAGAGAAATGACTTAATGTCCTAATAAATTATTGAGACATTTCTTACTTAACTAAATTGTCCTCATCTTTCTGACTGAGTTTAGGATTTGGATGGATAAACAATAGTATTTGCTGGTTTACATACGATTTTACTAGTATCTCTAAGGAGATTTATGAGACATTTGTGTTGTGAAATAAAGATGTATGTTTCTGAATATACTACCTCAATGCAAAGGACGTATCTTACTTTTTCCAATGCTTTGATAATAGACACCTTGATAAGTGCTAAATTAGATACTTTGCCTCCCCTTTATCATTTTTTGTAACTATGATGTCATCAGGATATATAGCTAATAATTTAAGTCCCCTTTAGGGTGTGTTTGAAAAATAATGTGTGATCTATGTTACTATGTTTGTATCCCATGACAATTAAGACTTTTATGGATAAGTCAAATGATGATTTGGATGATGGTTTGCCTCTATATAATAATTACTTTAGTTTACATACTAAATCATCATTTGACTTCTTTTTATATTCATGTAAAATATCCACATAAATCTCTTCCTCTAAATTTCCATAAAAATATTATTTTTAACTTCAAATAATTTTACACTCAATCAATAGTTTGTTGCTTGAGATGTGTTGAACTTTTCTATTAGAAAAATGTCTTTAAATAATCTGCTCTATATGTTTGGGTATATCATTTGGCCACTTGTACACCCAGTTGTAATTCACATTATGTACCTAGTTCTTAGCAACTTCACTAGTTGTTATATTTGATTCCTTTGTAAAGCTCTCATCTTTTTATTCATAGATTGTTTCTATTTTCCTCCAGATAGAACATCTAACAATGCCGATGGGATTGTATTGGTATCTTTAATCATAAAAAAGCTATAAGATGATGAAATTTTGGCTATTTCTTTTTTTGGTCTATTCTGTATGTGGGTTATCACTAGATGTGTCTACACATGTATATGTGTAACTCTCTCTCACTAGAGACACTGAAATATTTATATTGGTTTGCTCATCACCTGACTTTGTCAAGTCCTAAAGGCTTCCTAGTGTTTTTCTATTTCCCTCAAGAAATATAAAACAATATTTATGGGCTCAACCACCTAACCACTCAAGCTCATCTTTGTAGAGACTCCACCCTTTCAGCACAAAAATAGGCTACCATCACCTTGTACTTTCACCCAACAACCTCTCTAATAAATTTTTTGTCGGTGTCTTAAGATATGTTAAACTTATATAACTGAATTTACTTTAAGACAAATCAAGTAGTCACGATGAGTTCAAGTTGAAGCCATAAGGAAGATAACAAATGATGATAATTGCTTTTGTTCTCTAAATAAATATGAATAATAATAATAATAAAATAAATAATAGAAAGGTGAAATAAACTAGATATTTTGTGCTCAATCAGCTTTAACCAGCTCCTCTCTTTTGCTGTAACTATTGAATTATTTGAACTATAGTAAAAGGAATTTAATTATTCTAGTCAACAAATAATAAATAAAGTAAGAGAAGATAGAGAGGAGGAGAGAGAGAAAGAGAGAAGAGGACACGAAGAGAGAAAAAAATATGCTGGGTGGAGATCTCATTGGTAGAGGAATTGATGATCTATGCGAAAATGAACTTGAAAATGTAAGAAAAGGGATCCTAAACAGGTTTAGAATTGATTGAACACAAGAAATATTTAGGAAATAAAACTAAAACCAATTAAAAATTGAAAATCCACCTTTAATACTAGGGACGAGGTGGACAAGCAAATTCTAAATCTGAAAATGAATGATTTTTTATTACAAATTCTATTTCGTAAATGAAAATTAAAGGTAATACGTGCTCAAGAATATCAAGATATCAGACAGAAGACTGATTGAAAATGGGATTTTCCCCCTTGGACATCAAGGACGAGGAGATGAACAAGTTCAAGCTAAGTCTTGAATTAAATCCTTAGAATTTGATTATTTATTTTATTTATTCACTTGTCACCTGAATGAATCAAAGAAATAAATTCAAAATAACATAAATATCATTTTTTTATGTAGAATAATATTAGAAATCAATGAAAAATAAGAAGAACACTATTTTGTCACCCATGATAAACAGGAGGAAAATATCACCCTTTTTGCCCTAAATTAAAAGTTTTATAGTTGCATAGGATCTAGAATCCATTATAGGCAATGGATAATTAATTTGCTAAAAAATCATTTAATTTCAAGTGAGAATCTACTTTCATTTCTCCATCCAATTTTGTGCCCATTTTCCATTCGTTTCTGGTTATTTCCAACTGTTTTTGGACTTTTTCATCCATTTCCAACCATTTCTAGAATCACTTTAATTTAATTAAATAAACCGAAAAAATGGGCCTAATGGGCTTCAATAAACAAGTTCACAATTCCCCTATAAGTCAACACATATTATAAAAATACTTTAAAACATATCCAAAAATTAAGAAAAGTTGTTTAATCTAAAAAATGAAATCCAACTATTAAATTCCAATTTTTGCACAAAGAATCACATATTTAAAGGTAAAAATGTTAGGTAAAACACATTAACAAGCAATCAAGAAATATTTAAAATATAAACATGTCATAAAAGTATGAAAAAATCACACGTTAAGTATGTAGTTCAAAAATTAGTCTAAAGTATGTTTTATTTGATTTTGTATTAAATATCTATCAAGTATCATGGACTAAGTTATCACATTAAAATGACATCATTTTCCCATCACCACCCAATTTGGGACATGATGGAGAGCATTTACTTTCAGGTTGGATGTCATTTGATTTAGCAAGGTCAAATGAAGATCATGATGCAGCTTTATGTTCATTGTTGATGCATCTAGTGAGAGCAACTTGAGTTTTTCACTTAGATATTAGTCTAGAGAGTCATATTTCATTTCTAAAGCCTCTTTCTATTTATTAGTAGTCATTCTCTAAAACTTTCTTAATATTATAGAGTCTCAAACATTTAGAAAACTCATTCAAAAACTGGTCATTTTCCAAATCACATAGTAATAACCTTTGACCATTCCATGATTTAATTCTATTATCTTGATTTTTTGATTTGTAATCAAAATTAGACCTTTATTACTACACAGTGAACAAACTTTATGTTAAAGACCAATCTAAATAATCATGTTTGTGTAGAGTTATTTCTATATGTTACAAGTATGTCTCATATGTTCAATACATTCAACATAATCATTATATGAAATATCTTTATTGATTTTATGATCTTATCGCTGGCAATCCAATCCAAAAAGTGATTAATATATGATCATAATATTAAAATCAAGAAATTGTTAAAGGATGAAAGATCAACTTATGGGAAAAGACATCTGCATTGAAAAGTATTAAACATACCAAGAATCAAGGCATCCAATCAAGCTCTTCTTGTTGCATGCAAAACTGATGTTTGGGAACCCTACAACACTTTCTCCAAATGATTTCGACAACATGATCAACTTCACTTTCACGATTTTGGCTATTAGGTACAAAGGTGATTGGGTGGTGACAAGAGAATGATTTCGGCAAAGACACAACACAAGGTGCTGGTGGCCATATTTAACTAGAGAAGTCTTCGTCATGTGTGGAAGTATAAGAAAGATCGTGGGGGGAGGGAGGGTGCTGGCCACAATTAGCATATTTGAGCTAATTTTATGGTCAATATCTGAAACAATGAAAAATTATTTTCTATGGGTGTATTTGGGGTGGCTATGAACATAAAAAATATATTGAAGTACTAATTATGTGTTGGGAAGATTTGTTCAATGGTAAATAAATAAATAAAATTGGGTAATGTAATTGTTTAAATCATTGAACTCCAAAATAATAATAATAATTGTAATAATAGTAGTAGGAATAGTAATAAATAGACTATGGACTATTGATAACTAAATAGTTAAAAGAAAATGTGTGAATTATCTCGGATTTCACGGTATTTCATGAACACAACTTCTAAGAAAAAAATTAAATAATTTTGCCAAAATTGAACTTCATTTTCCTGAGGGAGAGAAGACCGCATATTCAACCCTTATCGCACTATAAAACACGTTGGGCTTACTCTGCACCTGTCCACCGCTCCTTCCTCTTCCCCCACCCCACCCACCTACAGTTCCCAGTGGCATGGAGCTCCACCTATTCGTCATCGTCATCCTCGTCCTCCTCCCCGCCCTGCTCTTGCTCTATCTCTCGAACCGTAAATCAGAGGGCCCCATCAAAGCCTACCCCTTAATAGGCAACCTGCCGCAGTTCGTCAGGCACCGCCATCGCCTCCTGGAATGGCACACTGAGCTCCTCGCCGCCGCCGCCTCCACCAACACCGTCCACTTCCACTTCTTCGGCGAGCACCAGTGTATCATCACCGCCAACCCGGCCAACCTCGAGCATCTCCTCAAGTCCAACTTCGAGAACTACCCCAAGGGGCCCTTTGTCATCTCCCTGATGGAGGACTTCCTCGGCCGGGGAATCTTCAACTCCGACGGCGAGCTCTGGAAGCACCAGCGGAAGACAGCGAGCTTCGAGTTCAACACCAGGTCCCTCCGGATGTTTGTCGTGGAGAACGTCCAGCAGGAGATTACCAAGCGGCTGTTGCCCCGGCTGCGCAGAGCCACGGGGGCCGCCGTCGACCTCCAGGACGTGCTGGAGCGGTTCGCGTTCGATAACGTGTGCCAGGTCGCCTTCAACGAGGACCCCGCTTGCCTCGCTGCCGATGGGGAGGATCCCACCGACGGGGACGGGCTGCTCCGGCGGTAGTTCGCCGCCGCCTTCCGAGACGCCACGGCCATCAGCGCCGCCAGCTTCCGGTACGCCATCCCCGGAATGTGGAAGGTCAAGAAACTAGTCAACGTCGGGTCGGAGAGGCGTCTGAAGGAGTCGATATCCACCGTAGACGACTTCGCTCGGAGGATAATCCGTTCGAGGAAGGAGGAGCTGAGCTCGCCGGCGGCCGCGGAGGATCTCCGTCACAAGGACCTCCTATCGCGGTTCATCGCCGGCGGGGACGACTCCGACGAGTTCCTCCGGGACATCGTCGTGAGATGACGTAATCTACCCGATACTGGCGGGGCGGGTGATGACCTCCTCGGCGTTGACGTGGTTCTTCTGGCTCCTGTCAGAGAGGCCGGACGTGGAGAGGAAGATCCTCGATGAGATCCGCTCGGTGCGGGCCAGAAGCAAGGAGGGAGAAGAAGAAGAGAAGGAGAGCTTCGGCTTCGAGGAGCTGAGGGAGATGAACTACCTCTATGCCGCCATTACAGAGGCCATGAGGCTCTACCCGCCGGTGCCCGCCAACACCAGCCACTGCCTCGCCGACGACGTCCTGCCGGACGGGACGAAGGTGGGCAAGGGCTGGTTCGTGTCGTACAACGCCTACGCCGTAGGGAGGATGACGGCGGTGTGGGGAGAGGACTACGGCAAGTTTCGGCCAGAGCGGTGGCTGGGGACAGGCGGTGAATTCCGGCCGGAGAGTCCCTTTCGGTTCCCGGCCTCCCACGGCGGGGCCAGGACCTGCCCGGGGAAGGAGATGGCTTACGTTCAGATGAAGTCCATCGCCGCGTGCCTGATCGAGAAGTTCACGCTGGAGGTCGCCGGTGGTCGGCCAGAGATGCTGCTGTGTCTCACCCTGCATATGAAAGATGGCCTGCCGGTGCGCGTCAGGGAGAGGACCCCCCTCGCAGATTTTCCCCCCCTCCTGAGAACCCTAACTTATTCCCGCTACCTCCCCCCCAAGCTCTGGTCGGCTCGTTGAAACCTACCTACCCATGCCCATGCATAATATCAATGTATGTACATCTCGAAGTAGAATTGTCTCGCATGGAACTAAGAAGTCACATTAATGGCAGCATAATGTGGCAATTTCGATTCTGTTTATTAATTTTTTGTTAATGGCAGCGTACTTCCACACTAATTGTATTATCAGAAGGTGCTGCTTTTTTAAAGACGATTTGGATTCAATTTTGCAGTATTTTTGGACCTAAGAGCCATATATACAGATGACAGTGGTTTTTCCACCATTATGCTTATTCTCTTCTGCTCATCTCCTTCCGCTAGTAGATTCAATGGCCCCACTCCCTCTTCTCAACTTCTGTTGTGTCGTAATCTATTTATATCATCCCTAATTCAAAAATCATAAGAAAATGGCCAGATTAATGCAAGCCGGGAAGTAGCGTATGCAGAGGAATGATCATAAATAATACCCGGATTGAGAAGTAATACCCGTTTTTGGAGATCTGCACGGGAGACTTGTGAGGAGAAGGAAATGATGCGGGCACATAGGGAGATTGACTAAGGGGCGAAGGCCGTCCTACTTCTTCGCCGATGTCTCACTCCTGTGCTCACTTCCGGCGGTGACCACACAACCTGCTCCAACCCGACAGCAGACGAGGGGGGAGCATCTGATCAACAATTACTATAAAAACAATGAATTACAAGAGAAAGAAACTATTATTTTGAATTTATGCCACAAAAGGTTCTGAAAAGTTTGAGATTTAACCTGGCAGTGAGAATAAAACCCCCTCCTGTAACAGCATGCTTTACAAAACACGGAGTCTTGGACTGTGCATTTGTCCTCAATGCTCACATGGTTCATCAAAACCGAGTTAAGACTAGTGGAAGAGGTAAAGTTATTAGTTCAGACTTTTTACTATCAACAAGTGGTGATGATGGGAAGATCTAAGCTCTTTAGGGACTGTTCATATCCCTGTTCAGTGGTTTATGAATTAGTACACTATATTGATTATGAGAGAATGAAACATTGGTGGTTAGAGAGAATTGTGTGGGTGCTGAGATGTCTATGCCCGAATTTTCTAAGGAGATGCTCTATTATGTCAATCATCTTCTACTTGGTGTACTCTTCTTGGCAACACCTCTGACATCTGGCATCAATAGTCAGCTGATAGTTAGAAAAGAAAATAGACACTGCCTTGTTAGTATATAATTAAGTTCAAACAATATTCCTCACAAGGTGTCACAAAATATCTCGTTGAATACTGTTTCTCAATTTTGGAGGAATTCAAAGGCCGTTGGTCACTAAGAACAACATCATGGAGGAAGACGAGAAAATTTGCTGCAATAATTTCTTTCAATTAAAATGAATAGTCTTACTTTATGATAGCCCTAAATATTACTACATATCTAGTCAGATGGGTTAATTTTTTTTTGAATTAGATTTATCTGATGAAGGACATGATAACATTATTAAAAACAATAGAGATACAATAAGCAAAAGAGAAAAGATAATAACCTTCAGCGCTCTATGTCAAATTGGTGAGTGGATATCATCTATTCCTAACTTGTAAACAAATCTCTAAAGTATAGGATTGCTTAGACCCTTGATAAGAAAGTTTACTCACTGATTATCTGATGATAACAAAAATGTACATTTAAGACCAATTTCTATTTTCTCTTTGATGTAATGTAGATCTATCTCATTGTGCTTCATGTAATCTTGTTGCACTAGGTTATGGCCTATACTGATGCTTGATTTATTGTCACCAAATAACTTAATGAAATCACTCTATTTGCTTTTCAAATCATCTAAGATATCTTTTATAGAAAGTACTTCAGATATACTTTGGGCAATTTCTCATAATTTAGATTCTACATTTGATCTTACTACCATGTGCTACCCCTTACTTTGTTGAGTAATTAGATTGGCACTTAGAAAGGTACAATAGTTGAAGGTCAACCTTTTATTGAAAATTGATCATTGATAATTAATTTGTTATATAGATTTCAAGGCTCGTGTTTCAATTCTTTCGAATTAAATACCTCTATGTACTGTTCCTTTAAGATAGTATAATATTCTATGACCCCCTTGTAAAAGATTTTCCCGTATATTGTGCATGAATTAACTTAGGTCTCCCATTAAGTAATGAAAAATAAATTAATGTCCTAATAAGCTATTGAGATATTTCTTAGTTAAAAACATTATCTTCATCCTCGTGATTGAGTTTACAAATTGGATAAACAAGAATATTTTCTGGTTTACATGAAATTTAACAAATATCTCAAAGGATATTTATGATACATTTGTGCTATGAAATAAAGATGTATGTCATTAAATATACCAAAATTCAAAGAAAGAATCCAATGCTTTGATAAAGAACTCCTTGACAAGTGCTGACTTAGATACTTGCCCCCCCTTTATCATTTTTTGTATCTATTATATAATACATATATAACTAATGTTGTAAGCCCACCTGAAGGTGTGTTTGAAAAATAATGTGTGATCTCTATTACTATGTTTTCCATGAAAATTATGACCTTTATCAATACGTAAAATCATGACTTAGATGATGGTTTGAGTCTTTCTAATATTTTTTTAGTTTTCATGCTAAGTCATCATTTTTAGTTCTTTTTATATTTATGTAGAAGATCCATATAAATATATTCCTCTAAATTTCCATAAAGAAGATCCATATAGTGGTGCTGACTTTTCTTCTGTACTCCCGTGGCCGACCGTCTCTGGTTCTGTTGTGGGTCCTTGGGCTTAACGGGCCGACCATCCTGTTGCTTGTTTCTGGGCCGCTGTCAGTTCACAGCCCCGAGGTTCCCAGGTGACCGTTCGGACCGCTCCTCGGATGCTTGTTTCAACGTGTGTGGGTGGGGATGGCGAGGGGGGTAGTGGCTAGCGCCTCAACAGAAGACCACATATTAAACCTTATCAGCTAGAAAAGACGGCGGGCTTACGCTGAACTTGTCCACCGCTCCCTCCTCTTCCTCCTCTCCCTCCCCCTACCCGCTGACAGTCGCCGGCGGCATGGATTTCTCCCTACTCGTGATCGTGATCGTGATCGTGATCGTGATCGTGATCGCTCTCCTCCTTCCCGCCCGGTTCTTCTTCCGTCTCTCGAACCCTAAACCACAGGGCTCACCCAAGGCCTACCCCTTAATAGGCAACCTGCCGCAGTTCCTCAAGCACCGCCACCGCCTCCTGCAGTGGCTGACCGAGCTCCTCGCCGCCTCCCCCACCGGCACCATCTACCTTTGCCGCTTCGGCAAGCTTCAGGGAGTCATAACCACCAACCCCGCCAACCTCGAGCATCTCCTCAAGTCCAACTTCCAGAACTACCCAAAGGGGCCCCGCCTCACCTCCCTGATGCGTGATTTCCTCGGACGGGGGATCTTCAACGCTGACGGCGAGCTCTGGAAGTGGCAGCGGAAGATGGCGAGCTTCGAGTTCAACACCGGGTCCCTCCGGATCTTCGTCGTGGAGAACGTCCAGCAGGAGATTACCAAGCGGCTGCTGCCCCGGCTGCGCAGCGCGGCGGCGAGCGGTGCCACCGTCGACCTCCAGGACTTGCTGGAGCGGTTCGCGTTCGATAACGTGTGCCAGGTCGCCTTCAACGAGGACCCCGCCTGCCTCGCTGCCGATGGGGAGGATCCCGCCGGGGGGGATGGGCTGCTCCGGCGGGGGTTCGCCGCCGCCTTCCGGGACGCCACGGCCATCAGCGCCGCCCGTTTCCGGTACGCCGTCCCCGGGATGTGGAAGCTCAAGAGACTACTCAACGTCGGATCGGAGAGGCGTCTGAAGGAATCGATATCCACCGTGGACGACTTCGCTCGGAGGATAATCCGTTCGAGGAAGAAGGAGCTGAGGTCGCCGGCGGTGGCCGCTGAGGGGTTCCACCACCAGGACCTCCTGTCACGGTTCATCACCGGCGGGGACGACTCCGACGAGTTCCTCCGGGATATCGTCGTGAGCTTTATACTGGCGGGGCGGGAGACGACCTCCTCGGCGTTGACGTGGTTCTTCTGGCTCCTGTCTGAGAGACCGGACGTGGAGAGGAAGATCCTCGAGGAGATCCGCTCGGTGAGGGCCAGAAGCGAGGGAGAAGAAGAAGAGAAGGAGAGCTTCGGCTTCGAGGAGCTGAGGGAGATGAACTACCTCCATGCCGCCATTACAGAGGCCATGAGGCTCTACCCGCCGGTGCCTTTCAACAGCAGCCACTGCCTCGCCGATGACGTCCTGCCGGACGGGACGAAGGTAGGCAAGGGCTGGTTCGTGTCGTACAACGCCTACGCCATGGGGAGGATGGCGGCGGTGTGGGGGGAAGACTGCGGCGAGTTCCGGCCGGAGCGGTGGCTGAGCGTCGGCGGGGAATTTCAGTCGGAGAGTCCATTCCGGTTCCCGGCCTTCCACGCTGGACCCAGGACCTGCCTGGGGAAGGAGATGGCCTACATTCAGATGAAGTCCATTGCGGCTTGCCTGATCGAGAACTTCACGCTTGAGGTCGCCCGCGCCGGTCGGCCGGAGATGCTGCTGTCCGTCACACTGCGGGCGAAGGGTGGCCTGCCGGTGCGCCTCAGGGGAAGGACAACACCCCGCTGATCTCCCCCCTCACCTAACCTGGTTTCCCGCTACCTCCCCGAAGGCGCTGGTCGCCCCCTTATCGACCTACGTATCCATACCTTTACATAATATATATATATAAACATATACATGTACACATACCGATGTAGAATTAATGGCAGATTAAATGGGGAAATCTCGGTCATAGTTCCAACTTCTCCCTGAGATCGTTGACTTCAATTGTCTTATCAAGAGATGGTCTTTTTTTTTCAGCCGATTTAAATCTAATTTTGCAGTATTTTTGACAGTGGTTTTTCGACCGGAACAATTATTTTGACCTGGTCATCTCCTTCTCAGCTTCTGCTGCGCCATTATATCTTTATTTATATAAATATAGCAGCCTTAGTTCAAATATCATGAGAAAACGATACCGAGTAAAGAGAAGAAATAATACCGTGAAATGATTAAAAAAATACCCATTTTTGGATATCTCCAGGGAGACTTGTGAGGAGGTCAACCAAGGGCCTAAGGCCTTGCTACTTCTTAGCCAATGACTCACCCCTGTGCTCACTTCCGGCGCTGACCACATAACCTGCTCCGACCTGACAGCAGAACGAGTGGGGAGGAGCATCAGATCAACAATTCAAAAATTTCGATTCTACCCCACAAAAAGATTCTGAAAATTTATAGGTTTGACCTGGCAGTCCCGTAGAACACAACCCTCCTGTAGCTGCACGTTGCTGCAGATTACAGAGCCTTGGACTGTGCATCCGTCCTCGATGCTCGCATGGTTCATCACAACCGAGTTCAAGATCTGCAGGACGACCCAAAGTCATAAGTTCTGAATGTTTACCGTTGACAAGTGGCGATGATGTGGGGGCTGTTCATATCCTTGTTCAGTGTTCTATGAATTAACACACAGATTATGATGATTATGAGACAAGGAGATATCGGTGATGTGGATTTCTCCTCTACCTTCACATTTGAGCCGATCCTGCAGTGACGACCTACGACAGATCGCTTCACATTGCACTTGTCGCCCAGTTGTGAACCCTCTGCTATCATGCAATTTTGCCCGATCTAAAGCATTAGCATGAGAGCGATGAGATTGGGATGGTGAACAGACGATCATATGCACAACAAATGCGCCACCAAAGAAAGGAGAAGGAACGATGAAGTAGATCAATAAGGAAACTTGAGAGGAAAGGAAAAAGATCCGAAGATTCTTCAAACCGGAGGTAGTACATCGGTTTGTGGTGCTCAATCAACAGATCAATGTCTCCTCCATTCACTTCTCACAAAGGTCTGTTCACTGTATGGGTTATTAAATTTGGTATGGTCTCTGACTTTGATCCAACTCTCTTTAGGCCAGAGAGAATGAAGGCACATGAGTAATAACAATTTCGGTATAAACAGCATATGAAATCAAGAAATTTTCTCAAAATTGCTGATCACGAAGCATCTATACGAGTGAATAAAGAAGATAAAAAAAGAAGATATCAGCTCACCGTTGTTTTAACTCCATGTTTTGCGGATGGATGAATGATATTGTTTTGTGCTGAGAATGAGTAGCCTGAAATATGACTAGCATCTCCTATCAGCTGTATAGACACAAAAAAAAAAAAAAAAGTCAGGCTTCAAAGGAATACTATAAAAACTCGGCGGAAAAGCCTAGGAAAAAATTCCCATTTCAACGTTGAGATCATATGAAGAAAGTAGACTGATCTGCAAATTCTTACATCTCGATTAATGTCGCTGAAAGCTTGAATAGAATTTAGTCGCACACAGTATTTGCTTTTGCTGGCAATATAGGCACAACATTTATGCGTTCGTGGAACAGCAATTGGATTGTTAGAACCCGGAAGATGTTCTTGAAAGCCAGAGAAAGAACTGGACAGGTGCTGAGACATCCATGTCAGAATATTTTCAGCAGATGTTTTGCTGTGCCAACCATCTTCTTCTTGGTGTGCTCCTGTTCCCAACACTTCTGACCTCTAACATCGACAGTCAGAAAACGATTAGAAAAGAAAATAGGCACTGCCATCCCAGAGGACGAAAAAGCTCAGATAATATTTGCATAACCGACTTACCAACTGAGATCTCACAAGGTATGGCAAAACATCTCGTTGAATACTCTCAAAGGCACTTCTCTGCTCCAAAACTTCTTGAAGAACAACCCTGATCAGAATCATCGGTTAACAATGGAATTGAGGAACACTTGTTACAGAGTCTGGGATTACAGTGGTCTCATTGTGACCCTATGCGTCATTTTCTTGTCTGAGAAGAACATGAAGACTAAAAGTAACATAAATTGAACCTCTTGAAGGCATATAGATGAGCATCCATCAGATCAACCCGTATTTCCATCTGCAGTGGGAAGATAGACGCGTGTCATATAAACATAAACAGACATCTTCGGAATTCTTGATGTTAAGAGTCATGCTCCTTGGTTCCTCGAAAAATCCACTAATAAGATCAACTTTTAGAAATTAATTTTCCAAATGTCTCTTCAAGTTTCCTCATGTTCTCAGACAACAAGTTTCCCCAGCTGTCATCGTTTCATTTCCAATCATGTGACAATAACATTATAGTAAATAAGTCCTAATTCACCCTTCCAGCTGTCATAATCAATTCATACTGTCCAAATTATTTAATTGGAAACAATTATTACAGATGTTCAATCTTCACTACTTCTAAAGTATCTTGGCATGAATTACATATTGATACGGGTGCATCAACATAGTTTTAATAAAAGAAAACCACAATCAATAAGACCAATGTAACATTTGTGGACTATACATGGTTTCTGCAAACACAGTACTGGACAAAAAAAACGAACTTGAATTCTGATATGAACTCTAGATAATCTAGAGCTTATAAATAGCAGAATATTCCCAGAAAGCCGAGGAAGTTTTCTTTTCTCCAAACAGATGTAGTTTGGTCTGGTTTGTTGAGAATTGATCTTGATTGAGATTCTTGCAACTTGGAGAATGAAAGGAGTTGATCCTCACGATCCTCCTCTTCCAGGAAGATGAATCAGTCACCACTTCTTGGATCAGAGTTTCCGTAATCCCAGAATCTTACATCAATTATCTTGGTTTCCCGCTTAAGTACGGATTACATGGGTTAATGGGCCAGGACCATTACATTGGACATTAAGTGGATCCGTTAACAGTCTAATGAATCCACTTAACATAGGGAATGACAGAGGACTAAAAAAAAAAGTGCAAAGAAACAGATAGAAAGGAAAAACAATCCTAGAGAGTTCAACATGGTTTCTTTCATGGTTTATAATACCTTGATTTTTGGTGAGCTGTTTCACTTTAGTTCTGCCCATGTCATTTGAGATGTATCTAAACATCCCAGAAATAGTACAGCCGAGCAAACTAGGGAAAGAAGAAATAGTTGAAGTAAACTTAAGCTTGAAAGATACACAAGGATCGCATGAGATCTATGATTACATTATCAGTGAACACCAATGATAAACTGTGCTGTACCTGGCCCACAGCCCTGATCATGCCCTTTTGAACTCGGATATCTTTCTCGACCTCTGATCCTGTTCAAAATGTATTCACATTCATATAAGTACACTGGATAGCCACTAAACTCCCCCAGCAGCACTTAGTACAGGGAGTTTGAAGCAAGGGATCGTCCAGAAACTGTTGTCCAAATTGATGGTTTATCCTCTAAAATAATAAACAGAACAATCTATATGCACAAATATATATCAATATATGAGATATATAAACATAAGATACTCAGTTGCGTAACCTGAAGCTACATGCAGCAAGAATTGTCTTGTGGAATCAAGGCCTACAATATTGTATCGACCAGGCTTTTTAGCTTTGTCCTTGCCACTGGAAACTCCTGTTTCTGAAGGTCCACTAACAGGAGCAGCACAGAGCAGCGCAGTTACTACTGCATCATGCCTCCTATGGGTAGCCGCAACAGCCCCAGGAGGCACGTCAGTAACAAGATCACCACTTACAACCTTCAAAATATCAGGATGTAAGTTCAACAGAGTAAGAGACAACGAATACCAATATAGTACACCTGAAAATTTTAAATAAAATTACATTCTCACCAAGATGTCATTGGCATTTAGGTGGGGAGCCACAGATCGCAAAGCACCTGCTGTACCGACCCCCTCAGGAACTGTAGCAACCTGGTATGCATAGAAAACATAGATATGTTTGTTATCTGATCTAATAATCGAGACATATTTCAGCAATAAGGTTTGAATAGATGCATAGCTAAAATATGCTTATGCTTGCTTCAAAAAAGCCTTTGAACGTTGTCATTCTTATTTACAGTATGAGTATGCAACGAATGAAAGCAGTAATGCATAGCTCTGCAGCGAAGCCTTGTCAAAAACCGTAAATCATCATAAAACAGTCTGAGTAAAACTATCAGCCAGATATTTGAATGTTAGCTCAAAGTTGAAGAATGATCATCATCACACATGAACAAAGAATAAGAACGAAATTGTGGTCAGATAAACGTTTCCAACAGTAAGAGGCCTGCTTTCTGCATTTCATAACATATGGTTATAGAACCCATCCCATGTGCAAAATCTTCTAAAATACAACGAGACAAGAAATTCTTTAAGAATATAAAAACTATAGTAGAAAAATAATCAGTCTTTATCATTGAATTCAACAATCAACTCACAAAAAAGGAAATGCATGCTGCACACGGTCAACAGAAAAGGAATTTAACACTGAAGTTGACCATTTTAAGTCAACCAGGTGATAATCATAACAGGCCAAATATTCCTCATCTTAGGATCCAAGAGGACCAACTGCATCCACTGTTGTGTTGACTGGACACACCCGAGCCATTCGTGCAACGCATCTCATGGATGACTACCAACTATTATTCCAGAAATAGATGCTTTAAAAGTTGGTCATTAATATGATAACCAGAGTTTATGAACTTTAAAAAAAATTAACTCAGAAATTTACCTTGCATCTTGCTATTTAGGCCGATTGATGTTCAAAGTTGGATTTTACCTTGTATCTTGCTACTCAGAAATTCTTACATTTTGTATTCAGAGATGAAAAACCGACTTCCAGTTAGATTTTGATGCCAATTGGAAATTCATTTCAATGGCAAAATCTTCAAGTCGAATATTAAATATAAGTTTATAATGATACCAAAGAGAATGGATTAAAGATCCTTCACCCTTTTTCATTGTTTTTTCTTTGACACCAAGAAAATATTTGATGTAACACAGAGGGATTATGATCGCTCAGATTCCATTACAAATTAAAAGAGGAAAAGATTCCCATTCTGATTCATGATCAGTTAGATTCCCCTGTGTTCGGGCAGACTTTTAGTTTTCATGTCCTTTATTTATCTTTTTTTGATAATCTATCTGATCAGAATTTGATCCTTAGTGCACACCAGCCTGTCCAACGATCTCTTCAAATCAAATAGAGGAGGCATGTGAGAGTGGATTAGAAGTTTAATAGGGAAACATGATGGTGAATAATGAGACAAAAAGGCCTGGCATGAAACTTTACTTCTTAGTTTCTCAAATTTTCTTGTGTGCCAATTACAACACATCTCGATATAAGCTCTATTAAGAGGTAAAACAGGTGAATGTTGCTAATCATCCGGACAAAAGAAAAATAGTTATATAGATATGAACCTTGAAGCTCATTTCTGAAATGTGGGGAGATTTACAAAGGCAAATTATAAAAAGGACGAGGTTAAGGATGAATTCACTGCCTACTTTTAGCTAAAATTTTGAGAAGCTGAAAATAAAAAGGACGAGGTAAGCAGGATTCAGAAAAAAAATGGTAAAAGAAAAGCATGATCTCAGTACCAAAATCATTCAAATGCGATGCATATTAATGCCCACGAAACAAGAATAAAGCTTGTTCCCAGAAGAAAGTTAAGCTTCCAGATTGGAAGCAAACTTCATACATTCTTTCCATGTTGAAATGGATCGCAACATAAAAAAATAATAAAAAATATTATCTTTAATAGCCATTGGAGTATTTTGAAGAAAATATATCCATGGCACCTCGTATCCATGGCGGATCAAATTATTGCAAGTTATAGATACCATATTTGTTTTCAATGTTTACATAATAAGATAAACATTTATACTGGCCAAGTATCATGAAAAAATAATTGAAAAATTAATATATCATTTTCAATAAAATTTTGTTCGTCAAAACAGTCAAGAAGTACCTGAAAGTGTGACAGCCCAGAAAAAATTAACATTTTGATTATGAATGGAATGCTCACAGACGTTTCCAATAAAATAATATATGTTAAATACCGAAAAGAAAAATAAAATCCACCGACCTCTACATTGAGACGGTCGGCGTAAGCACTAGAGACCCAGCTGCCTATCCGGGTAGTAACCTCTGGATCCTCTTCCTCAACAACCTGTGCTAAGGGATGCTAATCAGAAAATTCCTTCACGCTCGCACTGCCTAGTCCCATCTAGACAAAACCTAACTGCAAACTAAAGGAGAAGAGAACTCACCACGATAATGTCCTTGAGATTGCTGTCTTCAAGTAAATCGAGAACATAAGAGAGGACAGGGCGTTCGGCAACTGGCAGCAACGCTTTCGGCAATTCCTGAAGACAACGGTTCGACTTGGTATTTCCCAGGGAGCCAGAAGTTACGTTTTAAAATGAGAAGCAGAGAACATGGAACGGGAGGCAGACGCGGAGAAGAAGAGAACACTTACCCTAGAAACGAGCGGGGCGAGGTCTCTGGAGGTGCCGCCAGCGAGGACGACAACTTGGAAATCCATGGCGATGCTTGGACGCGGCGGTAGTTTTGGAGGAGTAAGAAGGTTTAAGGAGAGGGGGAGGTCCCTCATGCAATAGTTGTATAATACCCCTCTATAAAAACTTAATAACTTAAATATTTTATAATAACAAAATTACCTTCGTTGGATACTTTTGAAACTTTGCTTGAAATTATTATCAAAATAATTATTAAGTGTCCTTGAAATATACATTGGAACAGTCGCTATACCTTCAATGTAATATTTTTATTTTTATCCCGCTATTTATTTCAAACATGTGGCTATTTTTTTCTTAAAATTTAGTTTATTTCTAAAATACCCCTTAGGTCTTTTTTATAATAACCCAAAGTTGCTCACCTTGGCTACTTCAGGTAATAATATTATAATTTTCTGATTTTTTATCTTTACTTAATCGATTAATGAACTATTTTAACGCTAAGACCTCAATATTGTAGTAAATGGGCTTCGAGAATATTATTCCATTTTTCTAATTTCTGTTAAAATTATAAAAATAATTATTATCGTATGGCAGCGAGGGGATTGGCCCTGAGTGACGCCCATCTCATTATTAATTGTAGGCAATATATATCAAACATTGTTTTTTCACACTTAGTATTTAGCAAAATACTAGCCCAACTATCTTGAGCCCATTAGCAATATGGCCTCTAATCTCGCACATTAGTCATCCCATCTGGCTACAATTACCATTCTCCGGGCTTTTCCCAGGGCAAGGCCCGACGTAACGGGCCCGGCCCGACTGTGCTGAGGAGGAGGAGAGGAGGGTAGGTGGGGAGATGAACACCAATTAAAGGCTACAAGGAGGAGGTGGGGAAGAAGATGACCAGCCGACCCCTCCTTTCTGCCGGGCCTCGTGAGGACGAACAGTTCATCCGCTACAGTTTGGATCGAATCTCCGCTCGCCGATTAGGTGAGGTCATGGGGATTAGGCTTCTGTGCTCAGGGTCATTCCTGTCGCTAGCTCTGAAAGATCCGTCCAAGGAGAAGAAGAAGAAAACGAAGAAGGAGAAAATAATGGTCTCAAGCTTTGGGTGTTACAGCGAGCTCGCCGGCTGCCACCTGGCGTGGACGGCCAGTGGGATGAGCTCCGAGAGCGGGGTGGCCAGCGGGGTGGCGGCGGCGGAAGGCACGGGGGAATTGCGGCAGACGGGGCAGGTGGCGCTCACGCGCAGCCACTCGTCGACGCAGGCAGCGTGGAAGCAGTGCTCGCAGTCGGGGATTCGCCGGAGGGCGTCGCCGGAGCGGTACTCCGACAGGCATATCGGGCAGGGGCTGCCCGCCGGCGTGGGTTGCGCCCCGCGGTGACGGCCCCCGTAGACGAACTTCGGGTAGGACTCGATGGTGGCGCCATCCAGGCCGGCGGCGGCGGAGGGGACGGCCGACGGCGGCAGCCGGAGCTCGTCCTCCCGCCGTGGCTCCCCTCCCTTCACGCGGACGCAGACGTAGGAGGCGAGCATGATGCTGGAGACCAGCACCAGGATGCCGACGGCGATGGCGATTCCGTAGCCTAGCCCCACGCCGTTGGTGGCCGCGGCCGTCTCCGGCAGCCCACTGGAGGCGTAGCTGGAGGACATGGGTCACCTACTCAAAGAGGGTTTCGCATCACCCGGAGAGAATCTAAAGAACGAAGAGAGAGAGAGAGAGAGCGAGAGAGAGAGAGAGAGCGAGAGAGAGAGAGAGAAACGGACAGACAGTGACAGAGGTGGGAAAAGCTTAAATCCGCAGTAATAAATGGGAGGGGAGGGAACTTCCAGGAATGGCCTCCCCATCTCCCCGAAGATCCCTATCTTGGTTTGGCTCTCTTGCGGCAAGGCGAAGGGTGACAGAGAGATGAACTGGTGTTAGCAAGGTTTCGGGGCATATCGGCAACGAGCGGCTGCTCGGTCGCCGTGAAATTATTGTCCAGTTTGGTCGCTACTGCAGCTCGTTGATCTTATTCAATGCGCCGCTCTTGGGTGTCCCAAGCTCCCCGGCATATTCTCTCTCCCCACTCCCCCCGGCCGGAGCGGCGCTCTCTCCGCCAATAGACTCTTCCACCTCCTCCCCCGATGACCTTCGCCCTGCTGATGCCGGCGACCCACATGGTTTCTCAGCCTCTCTTCCACGGAGAACAGAGGTGCAGAGAGAGAATTTTTTAGAGAGAGAGATTCTTCACGAGGCTTCCTCTGATCCCGCCGGAAAGATTCCTCTGACCCTTCTGCAATTTATACTAGATGTCTCCCTCTCTCGCTCTCTGCACCAGTAAATAAGAACCACGCCTTCCTCGGAGGTTTTTTCTCTTCCCCAGAGCGTCTGAAACTCCGCATCTCCATTCTACGAAGACCTGATCGTCTTCATCGAACTCATCTTCATCTCCTCCAAGCCTTCCCCACCGTCTTCATCGGTCCCTCCTTCCAGGTTCCGGTCCATCGTATAATCCTCATCCGTCAGCCAGTCTTGTCTCTCCATCTCGTCTGTTCCCCATCATCCTCGTTCAAGACCTGCTCACCTACGAGCAGACAGCAGCACAGCCAGGTCGCCGGCGATAAGGCCTCTCCATCTCCATGAAAGATTACAGAAGGCAGCGGCGGCGGCCATCGGCTCCTCTCCCATCGTCCTCGATCTCCTGCCTTTCACGGCGGGGATGAGGACGCCGGCAATACAATCAAGAGCAGGGCGGCGACCTCTGGCCACCTGCTCCGGCAACCAGAGGCTGAACTTGATGAAGGTGGGAGAGGGCCACTCCCCTTACCCTAGCATATTTCGCTGCATGATAAGTCGATTGCGGAGCAGACTCCATTAGCTTCTGCTAACCTTACTACCAGAAGATGTGGAATATTTCGAAGTGCTCCATTATCATCTAACAATTGGTGAAATGTCCAGAAGACCATGCGAGCTGGTCTTTTGACGATATTGGGCCCTCCATGTTGCCGAAGATTCGCCAGTCGAGTTTAATAATGGGCCGGCCTTTTAACCCAAACACGACCCGAAAATTGAGAGCGACTGCCTTTGCTGGGCCCTAATGAGGGGAAGCCAGCCCATTAACCCCAAATCTAATTCCCCTGAGTTGGGAGAGTTTTATTAGGCCGGGAAGCAATTTGGTCTGACGTTATGGGCCCAATAGGCTCGTTCTGTTTGGGCTTCTACCTGTCGACAACTTCCTCCGAGGACGAGGCATCGACGGCCACAGAAACCAGTCCGAGAGAATGCGTCCGCCGCCGGTTTTTCCTGGGCCTCTCTTCTCTCACTTCCTCCCCCAGAAACCAACGCAAGTCCCTCCGCGCCTCAAACCCCACAATATTGTTTCAGAAGAGGGTGATCTCTCTCTCTCTCTCCCTCCCTCTCTCTCTCTAACTTACGCGGCATGAAAGAAGAGGAGAAACAAGCTGGAGACGCCTTAAAAGGGCCATCTTGATGGAGGATTCCTATATTTCTAAAAGGAGTTGAAGAAAGTCGGAGGAGGGAGAGGGAGGGAGAGAGAGAGAGAGAGAGCGAGAGAGAGAGGGAGAAAGAGGGAGGGAGATGGCTTCCCAAGGCGTCACCCTCCTCGTTCTGTGTTTATTCTCTTCGGTGGCGCAGAAGGGGTACGCCGCGAGGCCAGGTGGCGTCACCCAGCTGGTGAAGAATGCGTGCGGCAAGGCCCCGTTCGTAGAACTCTGCATCCGCACCCTGACCTCGGACGCCGGCGCGGGTAAGGCTGACCTCAGGGGCCTCGCCGGAACTGCGGTGAAGGCCGCCGCCAAGAGCGGTGCCAACACGTCGGAATACATCGCTGGGCTCCTAAACGGGCAGGTGGAGGATCCCTCCCTGCAGCAATGCCTCAGCGACTGCTCCGACAGCTACGTAGACGCGGTGGAGCAGCTGGAGGACTCGGTGGCGGCGCTGGACTCCGGCGGCTTCGCCGACGCCAAGACATGGGTAGCCGTCGCCGTGGTCGACACGGAGACCTGCCGGGAGGGGTGTAAGGGAGTGCATGGCAGCCAGGGGGTGGCGCTCCTGAAGAAAAACGAGCACGACGGTCAGCTCTGCGCCAACGCCTTGGCGATCACAAATCTTATGTCTACCGCTTGAGGAAATTGATCCACCGCTTCCATTATATTTAAATCGCCGCCCTCCGTATTCATCTGACCTTCTTAAGTATTGTGTTTTCCGTTGACGAAGAGGGCGCCAAGAAATCGGAATCCCAGAAGATACGAGTCGACCTGATAATTCGAAAGTTTGGCATTCACCCATGGAAAGGAAGAGAGAGAGAGAGAGAGGGAGAGAGGTGCTGAATTAAGGATTAACTCGTTATGATTTTAATGATTTATAGATATTAATATAAAATCATAAAATTTATAATATATGTTGTAAAATTACTTAGAAATTGTTGTATTTGATGAGATTACATAGTATATAGGTTATTTCAGTAAATAATTAAGACCTAGGCCACAAGAAATATCTCATTATATCTCAAGTTATTGTCAGAGATATAATTGTTACACTATGTGAGTGTAAAGACAATAAAAAGTCAATATGAGATATAATCCTTTGTGTAAGCCTTCATACTTAGATTTTTGTGGCTTCACTAATATAAACATATTTGTAATCAATACAAAGGTATTTAAACAGGGAGTTAACTGAAAGAAATTTAGATAAAAATAATTAAGGTCTTGATTTGTGATTAAATTTACAAGATTACAAATTTAATTTCTTTGTGCAAGAGTTACATAAGTCAAAAGTTTGACCCTTTTCATTAAAATAATTTTTATCTTAGAAAATATGTCATAGATACAACCATGCAACCAATCAGTGAAAAGATGATCCAAAAAAGTCTAGAGCTGAAAACCATACATAAACATTCAAAGTAATGAAAGATTGTTTTGTATTTTCTAGAACCCATGCATGATTAAGGATTGCTTAAATCGAACCATTTGATTGATAAGGTTTAAAAGGGGACAATCCAACCTGCATATAAAGAATGTATTTCACCTAAACTAAGGCAAGGAGAAAATTCCAAATTTTCAGATGACAATTGCTGCTTCAATAGGCATTCTTCCTCTATGTCAATGAACAATCTCTAAGATTCAAGGACAGTGTTTGATTCAAGCTCTTGTATACATTCACTTTTCAAGAACAATTATATTCTAGGGTTCCACTAGATCTAATGGTTTGTTCCTAACTACTATTACAATGTTCAGCTCTCACTAAATTTCACATTGAAATTCTCTTCGACATTCAAGACTCTAGGAGACCAATATATGATTAATATATGAGCTCTCTTTAGTTATTAAATGAGGATCCAATCATCTATTTATCTTATAAATAATATATAAGAATCCATCATAAGTTTCCTACAATATGATGAACCTTGAATGCTTCTAGAATTTTGACAAAAACAATGATGATCAAGAATTTGATCTTTTTTACCCTTTTCTCATAAGAACATTGGGTAAATGCGAAAGGGTTGTTACTTCATTTTGGTTGAAAATGATCAGTGATTGCTTAAAAATGATTCCTCAATTGATTGTATTCATGACATTCAACCAATAAAAAAAACCTCATGATCCAATAGATTTTTGAAAAAACAACCTCTTGAAATCATAAAGAGTTTAGATGTGATTGTTCAACTTTAATTCACTATTAGAAAGATTATACATTTAAATAGAAACTAGTTTCTATAGTACCCCAATGGCTAATAGGTAAATATTTGAATGACTAGACAACTAATATAATATTTCAAGAATTATGTAATGGCAATATGTCATTTTATTGCTATGTAATGACAATTCCTTAAATATATTGAGGAGAGAGAAAATCATATTAAGAAATAAAAAAAGGGTAGAAGCTATATACATATAAGGGTGAGAAAAGAGAGAAAGTGGGCTAGACCTATACACACACACACACACACATATATATACATATATGTATGGATATGTGTGTGTGTGTTACAGACCCCTCAAACTAGAGTGTAGAGATCAAAAGCTCTAAGCTTGGAGCAAGAGGAATCCAATCGAGGACTATAGAGAGCCTTTCTAAGCATACTTGTGATAAGTCTTCATTATCATAAGTTAATAATTAGTAAATAATATAGTTTTAGCCTTAACTCATGATAAATAGACTTATATTTATGTTAAAGTGTGAAAAGTGGTTTTCAGTTGATTAATATGAATTTTTGAGTAATTATGTGATTTTACACGAATTTATATGATTTTTACAATCTTGCTTTTGTGATAAATGAAAAAAAGAAATAAAAAATAAAAATAAGATAAAATGAGGGGGACCCACTGGCCAGCCAGGCCCGCATGCGGGTCGGAAGCTCAGTCAGGGAGTAGCCGCAAGTAGAGACTCGAGCGGCTTGAACCAATCCAATGGGGGCACATGTGCGTGCCTCCCCTTCCACGTCACCGGTGGAAGGCCAATTGTGGGGCAAGGAGTGGTCATACAAGTGCTAGAAAGAGACTTTGCTTAAAAATGTTACATTACTATTTATTCACCCAAACATTCGGCCCACAACTAATGTAGGACTAAACTTGTCACCTTCCTCAGAAGAGACAAGGCAACCAGCGTGGGTTTGAATCCTCCCAAAGCTAAAACTCATATTTTTATCTAATTATCGTGACTTTCTTACAAATCACCGATGAAGGATTAAGCAACCAAAATCACTAGATCATCAATGAAAATCTCATCAATGTGATTCCCAAAGCATTATTATTAAAATTGTTAAAAGATTCACGATAAAAGGATCACGAATCCATCGAGTAAATCATCTCCAATTGATCCACAAACAAGCCGTCGTCGGGAAGAGGACGATCCGCCAGGAGACGAGTTGCCACCTCTTGAGAGCATACTGGATGCGATGAAGAGCCTCTTCTTGCTACACAGACCTGAGGATGAAGCTCCCTGAGATGTATCTCACCTCCATCCAGCTCCTCTCCATCGAGTGACAGTCGCCATTTTTTCGCTCCATCGAGTGACAGCTACCAGAGACGACTTGACGACGTATTTTATTAATCTTGAGATTTCGTGAGAAGATCTAGAGATTGCCCACGTCGTATTTGTCTAAGGAGAGCCTTTGAGGCCATGGACACTGCACAACAATCCTCCCGAACGCTCAGGATTCTAGTGCATCACCGATGCATCACCATCGTAATGCCAGAATTTTGTTTTCCTACTTTCAACTTACTTTACACTCTATTTAGTGATAATTTGTATGATTTTAATTTACCAAAAGATACTTCGTTCAATTACGATTATTTTGGCTTTTACAGATCTTAATTTGATTAATTAAATCATTTGTAATCGATTACATAAGAATCGTCGGGTGGAACTCTATTTTCGCCTGATTCGTGTTCATCGGACGTTGTCGGGTGGAACTCTGTTTTCACCTGATTCGTGTTCACCGGGCGCTGACATCATCTTGACATCTGTACCCTTATTTTCCTTTTTTGTGAATTTTAAATATATTTCCTTTTCATTTCTTAGTATAAAATTCATAGAAAATCGTATTCATTGAGAAAAATTCTGAATAATTACCAGATATTATATTACACCCCTGTGATTGACCTAAAAAATTATTGCTATTTTTAGAAGTTTTATTAAATTATAATTGATATATTTATTTAGAAATACTTTTAAATATCTGAAAAATCATATTTTCTAGTTTTATAAATTTTAAATTTACATGATTTACTATACAACGACTGAGTCGCGTCAGCTTGCAAGTTGCACTTCTGAAGAGACCTTAATTGGAAAAAAAATTAGGTTAGCCTAAAACTTTTTCCAGATAAAATGACAATCAATCTTACTATATTTCGTTCATTCATGAAAAATCAGATTATAAACAATATGTAACACATTGATTGTTGTAAAAGAGATGTAAAAGTTGAGGATGAAAGAGGTCAAGCTCCATAAGAAATTGGCATACCCAAATAAACTCGCATGCAACACTCCACATAGCCTGATATTCTTATTCAACACTAGACATCACAACCACATGTTACTTCTTGCTCCTCTAGAAAATAAGATTTCCTCTCAAAAAGATGCAATAGTTAGTGGTGGAGTATCAATCGATAGGAAGACCTATCTAGTTGGTATCATAATAATCATGAACATCAAGGGAATAAGAAGACTAATACGTAAGTCCTCAATATGGATGTCCCTTCAAATATTGAAGAATTCTCATGACTATATCCTAGTAAGTAGTGTGTGGATTGGTCATAAATTAGCTAACCACACTCATATCAAAAGAAATATCAAAACAAGTCAAGGTCAAGTAATTTAGTTGCCCCATCAAGCGACATAACTATCCTGAATCATCAAGAACACCACTTGAATCCGAAAGTAACTTGACATTTGGATCCATTAGTGTTGGAGCAGGTTTGGCACCGAACATCTATGTATTCTGTAATAGATCAATCACATAATTTTGTTGGTTGATAACTAGGCCCTTAGAAGAGTAGGCAACCTCAATGTCTAGAAAATATCAAAATTGGCTCAAATCCTTGATCATCAATTTCCTTTGAATAAAGACCTTGAAATTAAAGATATCCTATGTATCATCACCCATTAGAATAATGTCATCAACATAGATAAATAGAATAATGTAACCCATAATAGTGTGACAATAGAATATGATAGGGTGATAAGCATTCTAACAAATATCAAAATTCTGAATTAGTTTGTAGAAATAACTAAACCAAGACTGAGGAGATTGCTCTAGCCCATAAATAGATTTTTTTAAGCATATAGAGTCAACTGAAACAAAATCAGCAGGTTACTTTATATACATCTCTTCCTCAAGATTGTCATGAAGAAAAGCATTCTTCACATCCAACTAGTGAAGAGGCCATGAGAAGTGGACCGCAAGCATCAACAAGATATGAATTGAAGTAAACTTCACCATCAGGGAGAAAGTCTCAATATAATCCTCTCTATATGTCTAAGAAAATATCTAAGCTGTCAAGAGAGCTTTGAAGCAATCAATGGAATCATTTGCAACTATCTTGACCATTATACCCAATGATAATTGACCATAAGAGAGGATGAGGGACAAGAAACCAAACACCAAGGTGAGGTACAACGAAGAG